AATTATTCCATTAAATAAAGGGACATGGATTAAATACTACTGTGCCTTAGGATAATCAACTGTTACAGGTACAGAACTTTTTTACTTATTTTGTTGCTAAAAACCTGTTATTTCCACCACAATGATGAAAATTTAGCACTGGAAAAATATGAAAACATTATTTATTCTACAGGCAATGAAATCAGCATCATCTTTGATTCAAGATCGTTGCAAAAGCATGCGTGGGTTCTCTGTATAAGATACATACCTGAAGTCTAAATAAACATTCTGTTAACTGTTTGCTCACGTTTCGGTCATCATTGAAGGTTACTTAAAGGTTATTTTGTCAGGTACAGGTCTGGACTGGGACCTGTACCTGTACCTTAACCTCTGATCCTGATGTTATATTAAGGTTTACAGCACTATATCTACTATTATCTAGTGTACATGTTGTATACTACATGTAGTATAGTTTCTGTCCAGTAGGAGCTGTTCATTGCCTTTTGAAGCCACAATTGAAAGGAAAGGGAAGGTAACTTTTAAGAAATTTATTCTCTCCCTGGACAGATGCAATGTATAGTATCATCATGATCATGATATACTGGTTCAATGTACAATCATGTAGCAGCTGTGGTCCTATGGAAGTTGAACTCGCTTCATATTCAACCTTCAGATTTTTATTTTCAAATTCTACCAGTTACCCATGGCCTCTTTTGAGGAAAAAACACTTGTGCTAGACATGATGAAAATCCATCTTTAAGTAATATCTTTAATTAATCATCAAATTAATCATCATTGTTCTCAGCCTCACCCAGTAACATGGGGCAAAAACGCTTTATACAAACTGACATTCTGCCTCTGCTTTTTTTCACCTCTTACAATATGTGTAAATATATTTACAAATATAAAATTTGCTCGGTAGTAAAGAGTGCCCATACATCACTACCTCTTTTCCCTTTCACTAACAGGGCAATCACATTCATCATAGGTTGACGTACCATTCTGATGTGACAGAACCAACTTCTGACAAGCTCTATGACATTTTCCATAACATGCAGGACAGATGAATTTTCCAGGACACAAGCTTGACTATCCCATGAATGCACCAGACTGCAATTGTACAGTGTGTGACCGGTGTCTAAGTGGTATGCCCTGCTGCCTAACACCTTCTTTTGACATGTACCCAGTACTATGTTTGTTCAAACTGGCCTTTCTAGTCACCCTAGGTGATCACATCATGACTTGTCAACATGCAGGATTGCTTACGAATAAAGCACACAGCTTTTCGAAAACCCTAGAATTCATATATTTGATTTAACACATGCACATTACCACCCTCTCGTTACCAAGGAAATTTACAGGAACTTAATGTGGCGACCATGTCTAATACAAAACACAACGTATGAGCTGCGACAATGACATTTCTGAACCAACATATTTTGCATTTAGAGTGAAACTTGAAAATGACAAACATAAGTGTTCATATCTAGCATGGCTCAGTTGACTAGTGTAAAGAAGACCATACTCGCATCTTAAATAAATCCTGTGCCAATGGGACGTTTTGTCAAGAAGGCCGTGAATTTAATGCAACAACTCACATTTCTGGCACAGTTTGTTCATGATGGAAAGTTAGAACCTATTTTTTCCTAGGCAAATGTAATCAAAACTGTGCAGACTGAAGACTGACATCTATCACAGCTCAACAAAATCAAACACATTACACAAATGTGAAAAATACTTTCAAATTGGTATTATCTGAACAATTTTCTAAATCACAAACAATATAATGGGAATGTACAATTTCAATCTGGGCCTACTGTAGGCATCTGAATTTTTGAGTGAAGTTTGAGTGTCCCCATATTTGCAGTAGAAAGGATTGGGAGAGTTAGCACAGCACACCACAGATAAAGCAGCTTCCCATATTGTACAGGCCTTAAGAGAAGTATCTACACCTATGCATAGCCTTTATAATGATGTCATGTCGCAGGGGCGGGTCTTTGTCCTGTGTCCTCAATGTCCAGTTTGTGATGTTCAAGATGTGTATTGTCTTCATCATTGTTTTGATGATTTTCCTCGTTACCAACTTCATGTTCTTCAACCTGGTCTCCAGGTTTCCCAATAGCCTGGTCTCCAGGTTTCTTAACAGCTTGGTTTCCAGGGTTCCCCATAGCCTGCTCTCCTGGTTTCTCAATAGCCTGGTCTCCAGGCTTCCCATTGGCTAGATCTGCAGGATGGACCATTCCTAGGTTTTTGTTCTTTCCTCCATCTTGATCATGATTTTGTACTACTGGTATGTTGACAGCAGCATCAGCATTCTCCCCTCCAGAGTCATCTGGGGACACATGCAGAGGACAGCAGCTATTACCATGGGCAGCATGACAGCACATTGCACATGTACAGTAACTACCAGTAGTCAAATGCTGCTGAGCCATTCGTGTTCATGGCGTCAAGAGAATAGCTCAGCCATGCTTAGGCAGGTTTTCACATTTAATTTCATATGAAATTGATAGAATTGATCAAAATAAAATAGTTGCACAGCTCTGTATGGCTGTGACATACAAAGCATTTTTCACATTGATTGACTTGGTGTCCATGCATTTCTAGCATGCGACTGCAATTTGTAAGACATGCCACCTTTTTCTTTTATCGTAGCAAGAAATCTTTACATACTGTCTGCTGATTTATCTAGCGGGGCATCCTTCAGACCAAGGTCAAGAAGCTGCTGGTTTGCATCCCTTTCAACTCTGGTCTTGGGAACCTTACTCTTCCCTGCTGCCTGCACCCTGGCCATGGGGTCAGCGGCCTGAGGGTCAATGACCCTCCTGATAACAGGGTGGGTTGACCTGATGGGGCCCATGTCATGCAAGCGAGAGACAGGAACCCGGGGCACATGATGAAGCTCTTGGAGGGTTTGGTCCAAAGTCTACATTTTAGAGAGAGAAGAGAGGAAGATCAGACCAGCATGGTAGGATGCCCCTAAAGCCACCACTACAGGAACAAAACATAAGACTAGTTAG